GGCTGACAACACGGACACAACCCCGTTTGAACCTCATCGAAATTCGCAATAGAAACTTTGCAAAAGAGTGCACGGATCTTACACTCTATGCTTGACACTAACAGTTTTAAGGTGTTCTAATCAGTGTAGGCGGCGAACCAGACGAGCCTCACCTGCGTTTGAAGTGTTGTCTAGTGGAGGACACACAACTCTATCTATGGGAAGTTTCGTGGTTGTCGTATGTTAAGTTTTGCGGTAGAAAAGTGGCAAAAACTGGCTTTATGACTTTTGTTACCTTTCCATGGAGGACATTTTTTGAGCCAGTCGTGTTAAGACATCTGTGACTTTCTGAAGACGGGCCAAGTGTGAGAACATAGCCTCATGTGTGTAGAACACGAGACCACCTGCGGAAATCAGTTTTCATATCCGCTTTCGGCGTACAGAGAAGTTAAAGTTCGAAATCGGGAGTTGTGGACATGCAAAATGGTTACGGGTCTTACATTTTAGACCCTTTCCGTTCAAATATCTTTTGAGGGGATGACTTTAATGTCGAAGTAACATTTGTTTTGTGTTTAGTTACACTGTAAAAAAAGTTGGAGGAGATTTTACATAAATCATCTTGGAATACTAGTTGCCAAGGTGTGACCTTGTAAAATTACCACAATCTGTAATTTTACAGAAAGTGGTAAAAAGGTTTACACATCATCTGTGTAATATTATTTACAAAGAAAGTATGGTAAAGCCTTTCCTATTCTAGGAATGGTAAATTTACAAGTTTGTGGTAAATTGGTGTGCCAGAGCCTGTGAATGTCCGTACTGGCCAATCGTGGAAAATTACCATCACTTGTACATGATGATACTGGCAAAACTGGGAAAACTACCATCGCTTGGAATACGGAGCACCAATATATTTGGGGAAAATTCTAGCTTATGTAATTTATGATTCTACACTATCTGTGTAAAAATCCCTAATGTACGTGTAAAATGACTTGATTTGGAGTATTTGAATTTAGCGTCTGACTAATAAATGGATCTTGTAGGTAACCAACCAAGATCAATATGTCCACAAAGATTGTGGTAAACAAGGCAAAGTCAATACAACAGACATCAGGTTTACACAAAATTTAATATCTTCAGCTCAAATGAGACATAAACATTGACAATTATAGGCCACATACTTATTGAACAATCATTCTCTACAATAGACTTACAGATACTTTAACATATTTTTGAAAGACCTCTTATTTGTTAAAGTATTCTAAATCAAAAGAATTAAACATGCCATTCCTGAAAAAAAAAAGAAATTTTCCAAATTAATTCAACATTAATTAATAATCCAAACACAATCTACTTCAAAACAGGAGGGATTACCTTGAAATTTAATAAAGCTCCTTGAAGTAGTTTCTGTTGATATCACAATGCACATTGCTGTCAGTGGTACTTGATTATAAACTAGCAAGGATCCCCTGTCCTCGTGCTAACCTTGCAGAGCCAGACGCAGGGCATGACAAAGTTAACCATTTATCACTCGTTCAGCAATTAAACTCTTGAGGATTCCTATGCAAAAAAGAAAGATGTTAGATAGATTCAAGATTTCCTGCATATCAGTGTCTAGTTCATGTTGGTAAGCATATTCATGTTACTTGCCTATTTAGAGTCCATATCCCTGCATAACCAAGGGACAATACTTTGTTTTCGCAGATCACAACAACGGCGGCCAAGAGGAATGTTGGGCTGGAGTAGTTCTGCAAAAGATGTAAGAAATTGTAACTGAGAATATGAATCAAATATCAAAGAAATAAAAGACATACTTGAAATTTATACCTGGCAAATCTTCAAATGTACAAAGCTCTTCAACCTCTCACAAACAGGCTTGTGTGAAGACCATGGGACTGGTCATAACCTATACTATGGTATGAGACTCGGCTAGGCGAGTCAATCTGCAAAAGATGTGACAAATTATAACTCAGAATGTGAATGCAATGCAAAAGAGAATAGAGAAAAGCGCGTTACAATTATAACTAGATAACAAAACGTTAAATGTACAAAGCTTTTCGACCTTCTCACAAAGAATACAGAGGACCTCATAACCTAGGCTCGGCCTAGGCCTAGGCTAGCAGTAGCAGCCTGGGCTTCCTCGTGATTTCACGAGTATTTCAAGAAAGAAACGCTTCTTGTTATGATTGATTACGCACGCTCGTCTCGTGCATTACTTACTATTTCTTATTCTTCTTGCAAGTTGACAAAGATGCCTATCGCGCCGCAGAAGCAGCGAGCAGAAGTCTGACGGCAGACGGAAAGAAAAACAAACATGGAGGATGGAGGAGAGGAGGAGAGACAGGAGAGGGGCAGCGGGCAGGGCCGGGATCAAAACAACCACCTGTGACCACATTTATATAGTCGGACTAGCTTAAGGTCGCGACGGAAAAAGCACGGGTAGCATACGATTTTCAATGGCGACGAATCGAGACGTTACTCTGGTCTGCCTATAACCTTCCGATGGTTTACACCATCACGACGATTTGCGACTAACCTTTTCGAATTGCCTTACGAAGTTGAAATGTTTTTAAATGCTATTTTCTGATGGTGCCAAACAACTTTACTAGACCAGAAGTGGATACGGCCGCATCACAAACAAGGCAACCGTTCTAAACATGATTTCTAATGTCAACAAGACGATCAAAGCCTGCAAAATCGTAAATTCGGCGTCTGAACTTGATTCACGCTGATGTCGACCTTTTCGGTCTATTTCAAACAAGTAATATTGTACAATGTTTACATTCGGTAGACAGAAACCTCCTTGTAGCAAGGAAATTAACTTTTGTCTTTTTTCAGGTATTGTATAGACTTGGCAGAATATCCCATCCCTAATTTGGAAATTACTGCAGATCTGAGAGATGAAACGGCTTTGTCGACTACTGCATACATTTAACATCCAATGTTATGTGAGGTAAGCTATCTTAACAAGAAATGCAATATAATTGCTGAATATCTTAAGGTATCAGCCTTCTCTTTAAAAACCATCGCATTTGCTTTCTTTTCCTCAGGGTTACTGTTCACGAAGGCAGACTTGTGTGCAGAATCGTTTCCACAGCATAGCACGGGTATGGCTTGAGTTCAATAAGTTCATCATTTGTACGTTAAGGGGTTTTAAAAGAGTCAATTGTTTTTACTGTTACAGGTTTAAATTCAAGAAAGTGCTGGAATTTCAATATCTTATGTGATGGTCAAGAAATAGTTGGATTGCAAGGGAGAAAGCATTTATAAGACTGTCTTTTAAAAACTGCTGGTACTTCAATATGTTGTAATTTGTTAAACAGGTAAAATTAAATTAATTAAATTAAATTACAAACAATCAAACTGAATATAGTCAGCAAATAAGCTGAATTCAAGAGTTCATACCAAACTCTTTATTAAAATCCTTTCCTAAACTAAGTTGAGCAATCAAACATTGTGGTTTCTGAAATGAGAAACAATCAAAGAATATAGTCAGCAAATACGCTGAGTCAAAGAGTAAATACTAAACTCTTTATAATAATCCTTCCTAAAATTAGTTGAGCAAACAAACATGCTGGTTTCTGAAACGAAACCTGCAGAGTTAAGACAACATTATAAATCGTCAGCTTCCTCCTCCTCAAGGTTAACTTCATTAAGCTGGTATCGGACCACATCTCTAATAAAAGAGTTCACTCGTGCTGTGGCATTCCCAAATTGCACCTTCTTCTTTGGGTTTTTAGAGCCCTCTTCAGGATTATTTTGGAAAAAATAACGCTGGAGAAACTCCCATGTGTGTCCAGCTTTTTGAGGAAACTCCATATTAAAAATGAAAAACAAACAGTACAGTACTGTCACTGCCTGGCTTGCAGAAGTTGTGGAGCATATGATCACACCTTCTGCTACAACATAGTAGTAGGTAGCCTCATACATAGTTCTCCCTGAAAAAGGTAAGGCCAATGAAATTACACAAATTGCATTGATTAATTCCAAAGTATGTGTTTAGCAACAGAGTTAAATATCAACTTACCAACAACAACAATACATGGGCTGGAACTCTGAGGAGCCGCCAGTATCTCTTCCCGGGTAGATCCCTCCTGCAACAGCCAAGCAAAACAAGATGAGTTGCCAAGCCAATCAATATATTTGGAAACAAGCACAAATTTTCCCCGGCTGCCTACCTCTTTATGAACAAAGATGAGATTCTGCCCCCTTTTCCTTTCCTGAAATTTGTGCATGGTTAAGATAACTGCACCAAGAATGGGGTTCACTTTCTTAGCATTTGTAACTATTGACATTGCTTCCTCAGCATTTTTCATTTTCTCTATTTTTGTCTCTTCATTCTTTTCCATAATTGCCTTTGCTTTTTCCACTATTATACTTTCTTCAATAATTGCTATTACTTTTTTCAGCTTATGGGTAGACATGTAGTCAATGTCCCTGTCAAAGTTTTGAACTAATTTTTCACAATGCCGAAACAAGTAATCAGCTTCAAGAAGCAGCGGCCATTCTTCTTTTAACTGCTCAACTGTCGGGTCCATTTTATTGAAAAACAAACGCTGATATGGGTAAGTTACTTCCATTAACTGTTTAACTTTATCATTGTCCCTATCTCTGGCGCTCTTCTTGGATTCTAATTGTAGCCACATTTTCTTCGCCTTTTGAGAATGCTCATCTTCATTATCTGGATATTCCGGTTGCCAATTATTGGTACCACTCTGAGCTTTACTTGAAGCATTGTTTCGCTTTCTCTTGCCATTAGGAAGTCCTGGAGATATTGTCATAGCAATCAGACTTGTATTTTTAGAAGGTCTATTTAGATAATTATTATGGTCTTCTAATTTAATTGCAAGGGTTGCAATACCCTCACCAATAAATTTACCATCTTCATCCAAGTCAGCTAGAACTTTATATTTTTTTATCATTGCCCCAGAAACATTCCTATAAACATTTCTTCCTGGATAGGTGTCATGTTGTCTTATTTCTGATGTAATCACACGCACTACTTCACTCAACTCTGTTTTAGAAAGCTTCACAGCACCATCCGTCTCCCTACCAACGCTCCTTTCAAGTTTGGAAAGTATAGCTGACCGCAACTTCATCCATGGAACTTCATAATTCAGACTCCAGTCCCCCTTCCTCTTCCTCGGTGTTGATGAAGGATTGCAGTGCCATAAAGGAGCACTCTGAACAGGGACTTGTGGAGTGGCTGGAGTGGCTGGAGTAGATGGTGATGGTGGCCCACCTCTGGAACTGGATGTTGTACTTGAAGGGCTTCCCCATAGTTCACCAACAAGCAACGCCATTATTGTCTGGTTAGCCATGGCAAGCAGGGCCGCCTTGTCTTCAATTTCTGTTCCATCCTCCTCCAAAACCAGGTAAACAGATTCGTAAGAAAATTTTGCTTTGACTGAAACAAAAATACCAATTAAAATTTTACTTTATGACAGTTTCTCTTTTCAGTGTAAAATTAATTTCAAAATAATTAAAATTACCTTTCTCTATCAGGTCAGCCATGCCCTCAGCAGTGATGCACTTCTTCTTCTCTCTCTGAGAGCACCACACTTTGAATACTTTGGCCATCTGTAACATTAAGGTCAGTGTTGAGATTAATAAATGAAGTGAGTTGAGTAATTTAAGTCATTTTATTTATCCAACATATACATGGGAAGAAGTAAAGTGCAGTGCACAATAAATCAGACAAAGGAAAATACATTCATTTATTCTAGTATAGGGATCTAATAGCATACTTTAGATAAGTAAAATATCGGTCTCCAATAGAGAGAGATTTTAGAGGATCAGGGCCAGCAGTGTCTCTGATGTGACAGGAAATACATGATGAGTTGGTGGATGGTACAATCTCATAAATTCCAAGATGTGAATGGTAGATGACATACTTTTCTGCTCCAATAAAAACTAATGCTTTATAATTTTCAACAACTAACATTAAATCTATAGACAGACATCTAATCTGACCATCATTATTTTCTTCCAGCATGATAATCTCTCCCAAAGAATACTTTATACCGTGATATTCACTTTTGACTGCTACATAGGTTTCTGAGTGGAAAGGACCACATTCCTCCAAAGCCCTATTTACTTCAGCTGAATACAATTCTGACCGATATTGGGTAACACTGTCAGCACTTACTGCAGTAGGAAACAAATTACCTTCCCGTAAATATGCTTGCATATACTGATGCCTGTATGAAAATGACATGGTTGGATTTATAAAATTAGGAGCATGCTTGGATGCAGACTTAAAATATTGGTGTTTTGATTCAAAACGGATTGTGCTCCATCTCTGAAGTGGACCATACATTCTTGTAAGTTCTCCATAATGTAAGATATAATGATGCTTGCATTTAAGTGTAACTTGAGGAATAACAGACTTCCTTAAATTCACATACTGCTCTGCTAAGACATCAATTCTGAAAGTTTGGTCCAGAGATATTTCATGAGCACAAACCAATTTCATAAATTCTTGCAGTTTTACAATCATCTGCCAAGCTTCGTGGGATGGGTCTTCTACCCGATCAATTAAGGCCAAAGTTATGACTTGCAGAAGACGAAGGTTGCTTGATGCAGACCCTACAATTTTCTTCTTTTTAGGGTTGATCTCCCTTATAGTAACATTAGCATTTTTACCATTGACAAATTTCACTTTGGCATTAACATAATTCCAGTTAAACCATTTAGCCTTTACTAATATTTTCAGTGCAATAAATAAGTCTTTGGGCAGGAATCCCTCTGCAATATCGTGGGCACTACAAGGCGGCAATCCATTCATTACATGGAACCCAGGTATTTCATTTAAAACTGATGCCTCCCACACCCCTTTCACAGGCTCATCTCTTTCATCAGCTGACCTAGCATCATTGTCATAGTTAAAACAATTTCTTCGGACACACAATGAAACATCACCCCGAATTCTCTGGGCTCGTCGAGCATAACAGTATCTGCAGTAAAAGTCTGCCGCAGAGAAACTTTGATTAAAACCGCCCACTGTGTGGGCCTCAAGATTATCAGAACTCACTCCAACTACACATCCTTTCAAATTAACAGGAGTGCCATTGAAAACAACATTAATACCAACTTCATAAAGACTCTTCAAATCCTCCAAAAGAGGGGAAAAAATCTGTTCATAACTAAATTCTTTTAGAGTGTCTGCATGAACCAGCATGACCAACTGAATGGGATCTCTGGTAGACCTGCAATAAGCTGGCATATTGCCAAGAGTCATGTACACAGCTAGCATCTTGTGTTTCCCACGAGCAGCCTTTAATGGCTCACAGGGCTCAAATGCATCCATGTACAAAATAATCTTCAAACCATCTGGATTGTCAATAAAAAACTTATTTTTTTTAAAAGCAGTCCCATCTTCAAAATCTTTTAAAATATTAGGTTGATTATTTCCTTTCTTATTGTAAAGTTCCTGTACAGACTTGTCTGTTAGGAGACTAGCAAGAGATTTTTTTACATCAACATAATGATATTTATAAGTCTTGGTCCCAGAGACAAGTTCGTATTCAACTGGTGGAATGAAATCAAAATTGTTGCTGTAGTACTTTTTCCTCATGTGGTGTGATCTAAAGAGACCCTTGTCACCCACAGCTTCCTCATACAAATTATGATTAAAAACTTCATTTTCCACAGCTGTCCTAATATTAGATGGAATTCCATACTTATCGGCTAAATCATTGAATAGTCTTTTCTGGTATTCAACAGCATGGTCACTGATACCTTGGATAGCCTCAATAACAAATTGTAAGGATGTTATTGATAGAAAAGATTTTGATTGTAAACGTAAAAGCATTAATGCAAACGATTTTAAAAAATCATCACTTGTGACTGAAGGTAAAGCAGATGAAATATTATCACTAGAGTTACTGTTAACATTTAAATTACTATCTAGGGGGGGCACATCATTAGACATTTCAACATTATATGACATTTCATCATTAGGTAATTCAACATCATCACTAGCATAACTAATATTATCACTCAATTGTAAATCTCTAACAACAAAAGGAGTGTCCCGATGATTTCTTTTAAAATGAGATCTAAGAGTACTGCGGTTTGTGAACAACTTTTCACAAGGACATTTGACACTCTGACCTTTACGAACATGACTCTCTAGGTGATTTAAAAGTTTTGATGATGAAGATACTAAAACTGGACAAGACTTCACAGTACATTTAAGGTCAGAGCTTGCGTCAGAAATGCTATTACTATGACTTGAGATAACTATTCTGTGGCTTCTCTTATGCGAACAAAATGATTTATATCGAGAAAAGATTCTACCACAGTGTGGGAATGGGCATGGAAAAGCCACATTTGGGGTATATCTATGGGCCCACTGATGAGCAAAGTACTTGTTTATAGAAAGCTGTCCCTTATGGCATATGACACATTGGATTGTCATAATTACCTTGCTCTGGGAGGTCTGCAAGAAGCGCCCACAACTGACACCTGCAAGAGATGATAATGATAAATTAGATTAAATCCAATCTGATGTTAGGCACTAGTGTGAATAGACTGTCAAAGTAACATACCTGTGGCAGATTTGTCAAATAACTTCCAGTGAAGTGAGCTTTAGTGGCTGAGTGACGTTGCAAACTCCTGCAAATAAATCAAGCCATCAAGATATGAAGTATTGGTCAACAACGTCTGATGGGAGGAGCGTTCAATTAAAACATAGTTCTAGCGCACAACTAGGTATCTAAACCAGAGCGAAAAGAAAAGAAAGGCTCAATGTGCCCCACTCTCAAATTGAGAACAGAAGGACAATCCATCCCAAAAGCCTAAATTAAGTCGATAAAGTGTCCCTTTAACTATTGGTTTAACTATTGTAGTGTCAAAGCCGGAGATCACTAGATGTCATCCACACATGTTAACCTCGCGGAACACGTGGCTCGACCATAACAAACATGAGAATCCCAAGACCTCATTAAA